CGCTTGTCTGGCATGGTTGAGGCCATGAGTTCAATCCCCAGCACCTACATACATAGATAAAAATAAAAATAGCCGGGCCAGGAGTTCGAGGCCAGTCTGAGCTACACAGTAAGTTCAAGGCCAGCCTAGCAAGTACTTGTGTGTGTGGGGATTGTTGGCTGGGTGTGGTGGTGCACACCTGTAATCCCAGCTCTCAGGAGGCAGAGGCAGGAGGATTGCTGTGAGTTTGAGGCCAGCCTGTGGTACATAGTGAGGGGCTGGAGATTTAGTTCAGTGTTTCCGCCACCTGCCTCGCAAGCGCAAGGACCCGAGTTCGATCCCCGGTTCTAAAAAAAACCAAAAAAACAACTCATGACTGTGCTACATAGTGAGTTCAAGTCTCAAAAAACCAAAACAAACTTTAAAAGATACCTTGTATTATATGTAAATTATACCTCAACATGTTGATTTAAAATTTTTAAAGCACTTAAAATTAAAAATGATAAATTAGACTAGATTTCAGAAAGTTTCAGAGCTTCTATTCATTAAATGATACCATCAAAGAGTGAAAATACCAGAGAAGAGAGGGAGAATATTTACACTCCATATTCTTGAAAAACCACTAATATCCGGAACATACAAAGAACTCCAACTATGTCCCATTGATTTTATTTTATTTATTTTATTTTTTTGTCCCATTGATTTTAAATCAATACTGATTTTTAAATCAATAATAAAGGGCCCGGGATTTAGCTCAGTGGTTCCGGCGCCTGTCTCACAAGCACAAGGTCCCGAGATTGATCCCTGGTACCAAAACAACAACAACAACAAAATCACTAATAAAAATAAGGAAATACATAATAAGACATACTACACAAGAGAAAAATGGGCAAGAAATTTAAACAGTCATTTCACCAAAAATTAAAATCTAATGAGAATGATATTCAATTTTATCCACAGTCAGAGAATTGGAAATTAAAATCACAATGGATTAGGTGTGGTGGCTTGCACCTGCAGGCCCAGCACTCTGGAAGGCTGAGGCAGGAGGATCACCAGGAGTTCCAAGCCAGCTTGGGCTACTTAGCAAATCCCTGTCTTAAAAAACATTTTTTTGTGGGGTGCAAAGAAATGATAATCATTAGTGAGTTATAAGGTCAGCTGTCATTTGCTGAATTTCCTAAGCACCAGGGGACAGTTCTTGGTGGTGGGTGACTTGTAAGTGTGCATTCGTTAATCCTCATAAAAACTCTTCAAATTGGTACAGTTATTATTCTCATTTTGTGGATGGGGACACTGGAGCCCAGAGGGGTCAAGGTACTTGCCTAAGGCCACACAGCAGGAAGGGACCTGGAGGAGGGACTGACGCTGTAGGACTCTGGATCCCTTGGTCTTCTTGTTTTGCTTGTTTTTGTGGTGCTGGGGATGAAGCCCAGGGCCTCATGTGTGGCAGGCACTACCACAGAGCTGCTCTGGGGCCCTGACCCAGACAGATGCATCTCGCTCCGTAGCTCCTCCCTCCCTACTTCCTGTCTACCATGGGGTGAGCAGCTCTCCTCCGCCAGGCCCTTCTACCACCCATTTCTGTCCTGGAGTGGACTAACCATGGACTGAGTCCCCTGAAACTGTGAGCTAAAATAAACTCCTCCTTCTTTAAATTGCAGATCTCGGGTACTATGTTCCAGTGCTCCGAAAACTGACTAGAACATCAACTCTACCTGGCTGGGCATGGTGGTGCACACCTGTAATCCCAATACTTGGGAGGCTGAGGCAGGAGGATTTTAAGTTTGACCCCAGCCTGGTCAATTTAGGTACACCCTACCTGAAAATAAAAACTAAAAATCCCCAGGGATGTTACTCAGTGGTAGATCGCTTGCCTTGCAGGTGAGTTTCTGTGTTCAATCCCCATTACCACAAATAAAACACTAACCAGTTTCTTCCGCTTCAAGCAAGATCTCCAGGTGAGATGGGCCTCAGCCAAGCCGAGTGGAGTGTGTGGGAATTTACCTCACCCCTAGGTGGCGCCGCAGGGCCACAGACGCACAGCCAGCACCTGCGCTTCCAGGAGGTGAGCCAAGCTTGTCAGGGCACAGGCACTTTTGAAGCTCTCCTCTGCTGAATCCCATTAATTGACCGGGGATGGCTGTAATTCCAGATTTAAAGTCTGACCTACTTAAACTCCAAGAAGTGAATTCTAGTGCCTCTTTTGGTAAATGGATCCACGCCTATTCTAAACGCATGGGTGTTTTTCTTCTCCAGCGTAATGACCCACTTACTGCTGGCTTTCGCTCTGAAGAGTGCTCCTTTCAAGTGGGTCTTTTACTGGTGTTAGTGGTTTGTTTTCCAGGCAGGGCACGTGACTAAAGGTTAGGTTAGCGGCCAGGTAACATGAGCTCAGGGGTCGGTCCTCCAGGCAGAGGTTTGTACCCAGTTGAGAGATCTGTTGCTCCTTGGGAAGGGAGGCCTGTGCTACAGTGTTTATGTACAAGGTGTGATCAAAAGTTCGGTGAATGTCTATTTTTAAATTTTTTTTGGTACGGTACTGGGGATTGAACTTGGGACCTTGGGCCTGTGAGGCAGGCGCCAGAACCACTGAGCTAAATCCCCAGCCCATACATTTTAAAAGTTCATTGCAGCAAGAGACACATTGCCACGAATCCCCCTCAAATCCTCTTGCCTCAAACACATTATCCCATCACTCCTGCCACTTTCTGCAGCAGCTCTGGGGTCCTCCTTCCTGAGGATCTTTAGATGTGCTGTCATGGCTGCCTTGTCGTCCTGAATCAATTCAAATCATTGACCGTTCATGGTCATTGTGACTTTGGGGTAGGGCCAGCAGTTGCCTGGTGCCAGATCTGGTGGACGAGGACACTACAGGCCATAGTGTTTTTACTAGCCTGCCTTCCAGTCGGGTGGGACTCAGCAGGAGTCCCTGTGTTTTTTATCACACCTCATAGAGACAGTCAGGAAAGGGACTTTCAGAACCGCTTCAGAAAGTGGAAGCACGATGAAATAAGTGTGTTCGAAGTGAGGGGAAGGGTTTGGAGGGGAACTCATGGCAATCTGTCTTTTACTGTGAGATATATGTCTATATAGTTTAAATTTAAACACGGAGCTTTTGGTCCACACGTGTAGGTTTCCTGCTGAACACATACTCAGGCCCTGTCCACTCAGCTCCTGGACAGGAGGCATAATCATGGAGCGCCATCACCGCCAAAGAGGCAGCGCCCAACAGCTAAATACTGTTACTGTGAACAGTGGAGGAGATGCGTGGACAGGGGTCAGGGTCCCCCTCTCCCGGGTGTGTCCTGCGCCTGACACCGGTGGCCGTGGCAGGCCCTGGGGATGCTGCAGCTCCTCCTCTCCGGGGCTGAGGCCATCTGAGTTCTTGGCCAGCCCATCCCTGCAGCCCCAGAGCTCAGGGTGGCTGGACTTCACCAGGGGGCTTACAAAGCCCTTTCTGTGCCAGGCTCTGCATCAGCCTGCTCACTCCTATGACCTCCCCATGAGCAGGGGCTCCTCACCTTTCTGGGAGGAAACTGAGGCACAGAGAACTGAGAGTTGCATCCTGGACAAGGGGCTTATTTTCTTAGTCCTGCCCTGGGCCAGCCCTCTCTCTCATGGGTACTCCCCAGCTGTCTCCACCACTCTCCTGACTCTGCCACCTTGCTGAGGCTCCCCAAGTGGTGGCCTTCACGAGGCTTCAGGTGCTGGCTGATGTCACTCTGTGTACTGAGAGGCCCACTGGTCACATGGAGGGTGTGCACGCCAAGAAGCAGAGAACCAGGTCCTGCATCCTCGGAGACTGGCCGGACTGTTGCCTGCTCTGTGGCCCCCCGCCCAGTGGAGATGGATAATTACGGGTTAGATCTAGATGCACTGGTCAGTGGGGCTTCGGGAGGGGACTGGAGCGCAGGCACATGCCTCCACACCCAGCAAACCTCTTCTAAGTTGCGTCAGGTTCTGTGTCCTGGGGACAGGGTGGGGGGCATCCCTGTGAGGAGGCACATCCCCTACTCAGCAGGCCTTTTTGTGGAGGGTTCCGAGGACGAACTTGAGCTTAAACAGGGACCAGCTCTTCAGTTGGAATGTGACGTTCCTGGTGCGGGGTATAGTAGAGCGCTTGGCTACCACATGGGAAGCCCTGAGCTCTGCCCCTCAGAACACCAAAATGGATTGAGAAAAAAGCCTTGTGTTGGCTGGAGCTATTCGTGCTGATGGTAATGCCTGGGAGGACGTGACTGCAGCCCACCCCTGCCTAGCTGGGCCCTTGGCATCACATTCCAGTCTGGGGAGGCCCTGGGGACAGATGACAGCTGACCTGCCACATAGGTGGCACAGCCATGGCAGGAATGCAGGAGCTCAGCTGGCTGCTCCAGGCCCTTCAGCACCAGGCCTCACCGCCCTGAAAACATTAGGGAACAAAGTGGCCCGTCACCCCAATCCCCAGATACTGTGTTGATTTCTAAAAACTCTGATGTAAACAGAAAAATGTATAAAACGTGGAAAAATTATAAGCCTATACACTTACACAGGTCGTGGAGGAAAGAGTAACGCTCCTCCCAGCGTGCCCTGGCAACATAACCCTCCTGGACAATTCTCTCCCTCCACTGAGGCTCCCACTGTCCTGTCTTTGGTGACAATTCTAATTTTTTTCTTTAGCCAGGGTCTCTCTCACTACGTAGCCCAGGCTGGCCTCAAACTCGAGATCCTCCTACCCATCCCAGGAGCCTCCCGAGTGCTGGGATTACAGGTGTGTGTCACCACACCCCAACTCCCAGCCTTTTAAAATTTCATTTTGAAACATGTCTCACTTAATTGCTCAAGTTGGTTTTAAAGTTGTGATCCTCCTGCCTCAGCCTCTGAAGTAGTGGAGACTAAGAGGTGCCTCATCTGGCCTAGCCCCTTGTTTTCCTTATAGGCTTATCACTTGTTTCCTCCCGGCCTTGCCTTTCGGATCATTATATAGATGGCTTGATACCCTCCCCCTTCCCTTTCCTCAGTATCGTGATTCTTCCCTGTTGTAACTCGTTTATTGTTCTTCCTGCCTGTTTGGGGTTGCGGAGTACACTACAAATGACTGTTTTTTGGGCTGGTGACAATGTGCTTCGATCCCCTTGCAATTCTGGGCAAACAATCAGCCACAGCTCTCAGTCGGCCAAACAATCATGAGGAAAGCCCGTAGGATACCATGTGGCCAACATGACGCAATAGATTGAGAGAGTCAACATAGTATTGCAAAGTAGGCTTTGTGTTAGATGGTTTTGTCCAACTTCAGGCAAAGGTGTTCCGAGACTGTTTAAAGCAGGTGGGGTTGAATGGGTTGAATGCATCTTCCAATTTACTACGGAGCACCCGCTGCGTGTTCCTGGAACCTGGAATACAGCCGCAAACAATGTAAGACATTCCTGGCCCATGTATTCTACTTGGGGGAGACACAATAAACAGATGAGTAAAGAACTTGTTAAATGGTGTAAGTGCCAAGGAGAAAAATAAACCTGTGAGGGAGTACGGGATGGGGAACAGTAATTTGAGAGAAGCCAGGGAAGCCTTATTCAGGTGGGATTCAGAGTGAACAGGATCCAGGTGGAGGAGGGAGCAGGTGCTCACCCTGAGTAGAGAGGTCAGGGAGGCCAGCGTGGCTGGACGTGGCTGCAGTCACCAGGTGCGTGTGGGTGGGGCAGATTTTTGAGCATCACCGTGAGACGTGATCAGAGAGTAGGTTTATTCTGAATGTGGAACCTGCAGGATTTGCTGATGGTTTGGATGAGGGCTGTGAGAGGAGGGGAGCCAAGGACGCCTCCTGAGTGAGTCCTTGGCTTTTGCAAGGGGAAAGGAGGAATCAGAGATGCAGGGAGCCCGGAGCTGAGGCAGCTCTGGGGGAGGCCTGGACCAGGTGAGCAGGCTGAGCCTACACGGTGGCACAGTGGGAGTTGCTGTGAGCAAGAGGACACGTGGATCAGGAACTCAGGCGAGGCTGGGCAGCCGCAGCGCCATGCAGTCTGGATGGGAATTAAATCAGGAGACAGGGCAGGGCCCGCCAGCCAGGGGCTTCTGGGGTGGGGGTGGCTGGGCCAAGAGAGGGCGTCCACCTGAGCAGTGCCGAGATCCAGGAAGACGACTCCTGACAGGAGATTGCCAGGTTTAGCCCCTCAGGATTACTGGATTCAGCAACCCAGAAGGAATTAGGGACCTTGCTAAGCAGAGGGAAGGAAACATAACAAGATGGAATGAGATTAAAGGTGACTGGGAAGAGGATGGGGTTTATGGACAAGCAGATCTTCTGAGTTTTGCTGAAAGTGAGGGACAGAAGTGGCACAGTAACTCGAGGGAAAAACAAACCCACCTGCAAGGAGCAGTGAGAGATCTGTGTAAATCCACCTGCAAGGAGCGGTGAGAGATCTGTGTAAATCCACCAGCACCATGGCAGAAACAGCTCACATTTTAGCTCAGTGGGGCCCCGACAGCGGCACGATGGTCAGCAATCAGATGGCCAACATCCAGGGGCTGTCATCTTGCTGGTCCCGTCACCTGCGGGGCTGTAAAGGAAGTGGTGACAGATGCCATCTCAGGTCAGAGGGCAGCAGCAGCTCTCTTCTTACAGCACAGGGGCTGTTCTCATTCTTTTACCCCCTCTAGAAGAGATGAGGGTTTAATCCCAAACCACCCTGGCTATCCCTCTGGTTTAGGACTCTCTATAGCAGTGTGTGGCCTGAGTTAGGCTTCTTGGGTCACTGATCAGCCTTCCAATCAGATTTTGAACTTCTGAAGCACACTCACCTAGATGAGCATATCTTTATATAAAGGGCAGGGCCTCAGTAAATACTTGCTACTTTGCATAGTTTACATAAATGCTCGCTATTTTGCATTTACAGATCAGGGCAAGGAAAGAACAAAGGAGAAAACAGGCCTAGCTTTTTTGGGTGGGGCCTCTGAGACAAGGTCTCACTTTGTAGTTCAGGTTGGCCTGGAACTCATCCAGATCCTCCTGCCTCAGCCTCCCTAGGGCCTATACGTTCATCACCTTTTATCCCTCACAAAGCTCAAGGAACTGGATAAAGAGAATTAGATAAGGAAAGTGGCACCGTGCGTGCGCGCAGCAGCGAGGGGGGGGGAACCCCCGCCCCGCGCCTCCGGGCCTCCCCGCCTCCGCGCCCGTCCAGTGATCTCACGCGGCCGGCCGGGCCGGCGGGCAGCGAATCGCCTCGCGGGCGCTTGCAACGCCCCCGCGCACTCGCCCGGCCGCCGCGGAAGAAGCGCACGCGCCCGCGGGCTCCGGAACCTGGAGGGCGCCCGGCCGTCGCGCTCGGACCGCAGGAGCGCAGCCGCCTCCCGTCCGCGCCGGGCCGCGCCACCGCCGCCGAACCTTCTGGAAGCGGCGCCCCGCGGCAGCCCCCGGAACTCACCGCCCGCGGCCTTGGAGGGCCGGGGGGCGGGGCCCGCGCGGGGGCGGGGCCCGCGCGGGGCGGACGCGAGCGATTCGCCCCCGGCGCGCAGGTCCCGCCTCGCCGGCACCATGGCTCCGCCTCCGCCCTCCCCCTCCATGGCGCCGCCCGGGCTCATTCATTCCACGCCGGGCCCGCCGGACGCTTGCGCTCCGCTCTCTCCGCCCCGGGCCGCCGCCTCTGCCGCTGCCGCCGCCAGCATGTCGGGGCCCGTCACCGAGACGCCGTCCGCCATCCAGATCTGCCGGTGAGACAGCGGCCCCCAGCGATGGCGCCCACCCCGGGCCGCGACCCCCGCCGCTGCTGCGTCCCAGCCCTCCGCGCTGGGCCGGCAGTGCCTCCCCGCGCCCCGCACCACCGCCCTGGGCCCCCGCCCGCCCGTCCGCCCGCCCGTCCGCCCGCCCGTCCGCCCGCCCGCGATTTGGCTGTGCCTGGTGATGCTGCGGAACCGGGCGGCCCCTCGGCTCCTCCCACCAGCCTTCCGGCCGCATCCCAAGGGCGGCGGCCGCCGTCACAGGCCGTGGGAGCTGGAAGCCGGGCGGGGACTGGGCGGGCGCTGGGTGGGGGTCGTGCACAGTCCCTGCTCCCAACTGGGTTCATTCTTCCCCGCCCTGAGCCCGCGCCGCGGAGCCTAGCCTCCTGCAGGATCCCGGGGCCAGCTCGCGGCGGTGCAGAGATCCAAAGCTCCCAGAGGTGCAGGGCAGGTGCCCGAGCCGTGCGAGCCCTTGACTGGGCGCGCCTGCTGGAGGGGGCTGCAGACCCGCTGTCCCTTCAGTGCATTGCCTCGGTTGGTTGGGAGGAGAGCAGGTGTTCAAAGCGGGATCAGAAAATACAGTTCGTCGCAGTCTGCTACTCAGGAAGGAGAAAGCAGCCCAGTGGGCCCAGTGGCATCTTACACAATGGAGGCAAAGGATCGTTCTAGTATGCACACCTTCCCGTCCTTCCTCCAGCGGGTACCGCCTAGATAGATGTTGGTTGGCCCGGGAGGCAGCTGGAGATCATGAGCGAGCTCGTTTTCCCTAAGGAGATGGAGAGGGCGGCCTCAAGGTTACTGTGGGAATCTCCGGCAGAGCCAGGAGTGGAGGCAATCGAGCATTTGTGTCTGAGCTAAGTAAAAGCCCGGAGTAAGGCGCTGTGGCCTGCAGTCTGTCCCACCGGATGGACCACCCACCGAGAGAGTTTTAGGGGTAGCTGCTCACATCTGGAGGCTGGGCTTCACATTGACCTTGGGTCTAAGCGATGTCCCAGTGAGGCAGGGATTTCCTGTGAGGTTGATATCTGTCTAGAAGGCTGGGGATACAGCAAGTGTAAGTCGGGGCCACCTTGCTCCCAGCTCCTGCTGGCATGGCAGGGGTCCTTTCCTGAGCTCAAGGTCCGTTTGGACTGTTCCAGAGAGGGGAGGTCTCTGGGGGAGCCCGGTCCATTTGCTTGTTATTGCTTATTTGAAGGTCCTGTCTGTTCACTGGAGCCCACAGGGCAAAAATAACAAAGTTGTGGCACAGTACCTTGAAGAGAGACAGGCCTGGAGTCAGGTCTTTGAATCTCTGATTATTTATTGGAGGCGGTGGTGGATCTAATTGTTTGTAAAGAGCTTGTCTCATTTTACTTGGTTTGCCCAGATCCACCCCCCCTACTCCCACCCCCACCCCACCCCCCCGCACCCCTTGGATGGTAGGGACCTCCAGCTCTCCGGCTGTGATCGAATAACTCTCTGTGATGGAATAGCTCACCAAGATCCTCCAGCTCCCAGACTCTTAGGGGCAACTCCCACCCAGGTCTTCTGATTCCCGATCTAGTGTTCTTTCCACTACCTCTCAAAGAAAATACTGACTTGGGCGTGGTGCTGCAACCCTGTAATCCTAGTACTTGGGCTCAGGAGTTCAAGCCCAGACTGGGTGATGTAACTAGGCCCTGTTTTTAAAAAAAAAAAAAAAAAGGAAAATACAATTTAAACCTTTCCTTGGAAGGCTTGGCTTTTATTTACTTTGTCAAGGTGATGATCAGCCAGTGTCTATCATACTGTTTTCAAGTAGCTTCTAACAGCTGAAGGGTTTTTATGCAGTTTTAGACACTTCTATACATATACGAGTGTGTTTCTGGGTCCTCTTTCTTTTCTTTCTTTCTTTCTTTTTTTTTTTTTTGTAATGGGGATCAAACTCGGGACCTTGGGCTTGCAAGGCAGGCGGGGGAACCACTGAGCTAAATCCCCGACCCTGGGTCCTCTTTCTTACTTACTGGGTCCACAGGGCTACCTCTCCTCCCCAAATAACAACTGCAGATTGTCCCTAAGTGTCTGCCTGGGCTGAGGGACCTGTGAACAGGATGTCTGGGTGTGGTCACTCTGGTCACTCAGGCCCCACCTAAGCCCAGGACACTGGAGAGGATGCGGAGACCTTTAAGGACATTTGAGCTGACACCCACAGTGAAAGAGGAACCTCCTGGCCTAGTACATCCAAGCCATGAATTTAACAGGACTTCACCGGATACCCCCAAGGAGCAAGAAAGTGGAGTGGAAAATTTGGGGGTCACCATCCAACAGGGCAAAGATGCCAAAGTCCCCACCTCTCTACACAATTAGGGTGGTCTTGGAGCAGTCAGTTGGAAAGCTGTTGAAGGAAGATGGGACTTATTTTCTTTCTTTTTTCCTTTCTTTCTTTTGTCTTTTTGAGATAGGGTCTCACTATGTAGTCTAGGCTGGCCTTGAACTCAGGGCTGTCCTTCTGCCTCAGCCTCTCAAGTGCTAGGATTGCAGCTGTGCATCACCACGCCCTGGGGCTTTTGAAGGCAGGTGTGGGCTGTGACTACAGGAAGTTGTGCAGGCCTGGCCGGGGACCCAGATCTGATTTCTGCTCTGCCCCTTGGTGGCTGAATGACCTGACACTTGCTGCTTCACCTTCCTGTGCCCCCATTTTTTTGTGGGTCCTGAGTGTAGCCAGTGTCTCGCAGGATGGCTGCAGCTCACATTGTAAGTCAATGCAAGATCTTTATACGAGAAGTAGGACACTGGCCCATGAGGCCGGTGCCCGGGTTTCAATCTCATGCTTCTGGCAGATTGTGCGTGGCTTTTGGCATACTCTGTAACCTCACAGGCCCAATTTCTTATCTGTGAATGGCAGACTGTATAGAGCTTCCCTTAGGTTTATTGTGAAGATGGATACCTTTGGCCCAATTCTGCCATTTACAGGCATGAACTCACAAAGTAATACTTTGAGAACCAGGCAGACAGGCCATCGTGGGTCATCTTTCCTCTGCCCTTCTGATCTGGCCCAGAGATACCAGTGGAGGAGCCTTGTCGTGAGACGCCCAGCAGGCACGTGACCTTGGACCTGTTGGGTGTGGGTGTGTGACATCTGCAGGCCTAATCTTGCTTGTCCTGCTCTGGAGGCTGCACTTCCAGCTGGTCCCAGAGAGCAAGGATTATTTGTACCAGGTGGACCATGAAGCTTTCAGTGGTGCCAGTGTCTGGTGGACAGGCTGATCGGTACTCGTGGAATGGATGTGAACTGTGGTATGTGAAGGGCTTGGAATTTTCCCCCTTGGGCTCTGTCTTTGGTTGCACAGTAGAATTCATGGAAACAGATTTACATTCACCACATTCAGCTGTTATTCTTGACCATTGCCTGAGAAGGCGCACGGTGCTACCTCCCTTCCTGTGGGGTTTGGGGCCCTGGTGGAGGTGCAGAGACCCTGTGATGAGGAGGCCTGTGTCCCCGCCTTCCGTCTTCACCCTGTGGGGCGCGCTGGGCAGCAGCCTCCCATTGGGCAGACTTTGCACCTGCTGCTGACCAGCTCCCTGGCTGCATTCAGGCCTGAGGGAGCTTCCTCCTGAGGGACGCCCTGCTGCATGGGTGGTGCTCCTCCAGGTGGTCCATGGGTGGCCACACAGGTGTCTTGCCCTTGCACTTGTAGGTGCTTTTTCACTGTGTGCTCCCCATCCTTGGGCTACACGGCCCCACCAGGAATTTGTTACAGATGCATTCTGTGTGTAAATAACTCTCCAAGGAGAGGCAGCCAAATGCAGATTTATTTTGTGTTTTTGGTGATACTGGGGATTGAAGCTGGGGCATGGTAGGCAAGTGCTCCACTTCCGAGCTGTATCCCCAGCCTTCTTTCCTTTTATTTTAAGATAGCATCTTGCTAAATTGCCTAAACTGTCCTTGAACTTGGGATACTTCTTCCTCATTCTCTCCAGTAGCTGTGAATACAGGCTTATGCAAGCATGCCCAGCAAAATGTGCCTGTTATTTATGTGTTTATTTTGGTGCCACTGGGGATTGAACCCAGGGCCTTTGCACTGAGCTACATCCCCATTCTCCTCCCCAGCCCTTATTATTATTGTTATAATTATTATTATTTTGGTACTAGGGATCGAACTCAGGACCTTGCACTTGCAAGGCAGGCGCCGGCACCACTGAGCTAAATCCCTGGCCCTCCTTACTACTTTTTATTTAAGACAAGGTCTCATTAAGTTGTTGAGTTGCCCAAGCTGGGATTGAACTTGTGATCCTCCAGCCTCAGGCCCCCAGAGTTTGGGGGTTATAGGCTTGCAGCACCGTGCCCTGATTAGTGGACTTATTTTAAATGCCCAGGTCCTTGTGTTGACAGATGCGCAGTGGCCGCCTGATCGTGACATAGGACACCCCATTACCAAGATGTCCCCTTCCACCACTTGCCGGTCTTTTTCCTTCCCACTGCTGGCCTCTGGCAGACGAATCTGCTTTCCGTTGCTGGAGCTTTGCTGTTGCTAGACTTTCCAGTTGGTGGAATCCTACTTGGCGCCGTGCCCGTGACCCTCACCCCTGTGTGTCACACACCTTCTCTGTCACCCAGACGTCTTCTGTTCCCTGGATGCTGTGGCTGGTTTATCTCTTCGTTAGGGCTCTTAGCTTTTAGCCATGGGGAATCTAAATGTGGACAGACACTTACTGTTTGATGCTATTAAGGGGTTTGTGTTATTTATTTCAGCTGGGATCACAGCCTAGTGCTCTTATTTAGGGACAGGCTCAAACTCCTGGGCATAAGGGATTCTCTTGACTCAGCCTCCCAATTAGTTGAGACTTACAGGTTTGCATCCCTGCACCTGGCCTGGTTGTTTTTGTTTTTTAATAAAACACTTAATATATATATTTGTACATAGACTACTATGCAAGAAAAAAATTAGGAATCCTTTTTAGACAAGGCTTGACTTCAGGGCTTTAGCAAGATGTGGAAACTTTTCTCGCAGAGCTTTCTGTTTCTTTTTCTCCAAAGTTTTCTTTCTTGCTGAAATGCGGGCTTGTTTCTCAGTTCTCAGTCTGATAAAACAATCCACATAAGGCAAAGAATTGTTTCCTGTTGTATCTCTTTTTTTTTTTTGGTACCGGGGATCAAACTTGGGTCCTTGAGCTTGCAAGGCAGGCGACAGAACCACAGAGCTAAATCCCCGGCCTCCCCTGTTGTATCTTTTATTTAGGTACCAAGGTATAGGCCACTGCTTGAACTTGTGCCAGGTGATTCTTCCAAAGATGTCTCTTCTCCGAACACCAGGTCTAGCTTTTTCTTTTCTTTTTTTTTGGTACCGGGGATCGAACTCGGGTCCTTGGGCTTGCAAGGCAGACGCCAGAACCACTAAGCTAAATCCCCGGCCCAAGCTTTTTCTTGACCAGTCTGGAGAAGCCTCAAAGCATCTTCTCTTTCCTGGACAACTTCATCTAATGCACCCATGACATCAACTACCTTTTCTAACTGTTCTGGACTTGGCATTGGCAAACACTGCCATTTGGCCGCCTGTTCTAGAGTTAGAAGCATGTTTCTTTCTTTCAATAAGATGTACCAGGGCCAGGGATTTAGCTCAGTGGTTTTGGTGCCTGCCACGCAAGCTCAAGGACCCGAGTTCGATCCCTGGTACCAAAAAAACAACAAAAAAGATGTACCAAAGTTTATGTAAATCTTCATTACTTTTGTTCCTTAATTGGTGACAGGTCCACGCAGTTCCAGATTCTACTTTTTCTTGCCCCCAATTCTTTGGGTCATCAAAAAGTTCTTCCAGGGCCAGGGATTTAACTCAGTGGTGCTGCCATTTGATCCCTGGTACCTCAAAAAAAAAAAAAATTCTTCCATCCTCTTCTTGACAGTGTGGTATGAAGTAATCTACACTGATGAAAGGATGTGACATTTGGTGCATTCTTAGGTAGCAAACTAAGAGAAAACCGTGAGCCAGCAGGGGCCTTAAGAGTTATCAGTGACCCAGAAGCCTTCAGGACTGCTGAGACTTCTACAAAAAGTTGCCGCACTGGCCTCAGCCATCCCCCCCCCCGCCCCCAGCTCAGGGTTTTTTGTTTTGTTTTGTTTTTTCCCCCCACTGAGGCTGTCTTCTGGAAGCAGTGCTGAAATCTTTCCGGGTGATGCTAGGCTGTGCTGTCTGGGATTGGCTGCAAATGAGCTTGCCTGGGAGAGCTACGGAGCAGAGAGGAAACCGGAGAGGCCTGGGTTGATGGGTTTAGGACCTTCAGGAGGGATGGGACTCATTCCTTCCTCCCTCCGCTTCTGTAGCCTTCGATGCTGTTCACGATGAAGAGTAAAAGGAAGAACAGGCTCTGGAGCCCCACCCCAGAAATCTGCCTCTCCCTCTGCCCCATGGCACCTGCCAGCCTCCTCAGCCTCCCTGCCAGAGCAGGATCTCTGCCCCAGGTGGCAGCCTCCCAGGGCTGCTGACAGTCACCTGCTGGATGGAAGCAGAGCAGAGGGGCCAGGAGGAGAGGTGAAGGCCTGGGAGGTGGGCTCTGGGATGCTGACCCTCCCGCCCCATAGACAGGTGACATTCCACCATGGGTTCCCCTCCTTTGTTTATAAAAGAGCCTGAGGCTGTGTGACTTCAGGTCATCCTGAATTCCTTACATCCCTGAGTACCGGAAGCCAGTCTGTCGGCTCACCGGAAGCCAGGCTCACCGGAAGCCAGTCTCACGGTGGTGGAGGCCAGGCCAGGGAGCGTCGGGAGGGAGCTGGGAAACCTCTGTCCCCAGCATGCAGGATGAAGCTTGCCAGGGCTGCCGGCCTTGGGCTGCTTGGCAGGCTGGTGGCCTCCAGGGGGCCCAGGGGAAGGCGCGGGGTCTCCATCCATGCCACTGGAACCAGCGCCAAGCTCCCACTCCCCAGACTTGCCGTCTTTGGCACCGGAAGGTAGGATGACTGGCAGGACCCTGTGTCTGGGGTTGTTCCCCATCCCAGCCCTTCCCGGGCCCCAGGCCGCAGAGCGTAGGTCTGGGAGGATATTTGAGAAATTTGTGGGTGTCTGCTCTTTCTCCGGGCATCAGCCAGTAGGAAGCTGGGTCTTTGAGGGTTTGAGATCACAGCACCATGGCCGCCCGGAGCTCTCTTCCAGGTGAGGCCTGGCAGGTTCCTGCTCTCGGGCTCTTCCGGGAAGCTGAGCTGTGCCTCTGGGCCATGGGTTAGTGCAGGGCTGGAGGGGGCTGCTCTTGCCGCAGGCTCATCTTTTTTTTTTTTTTTTTTTGGGATCGAACTCAGGACCTTGTGCTTTTGAGGCAGGCAGCGGAACCACTGAGCTACATCCCCAGCCTGCTCATCTTTACCATCCCTTGCACGCTTGCTGCTTCTCTCCTGTCTCCTAAGCTTTGCTCTTTCATCCTCTGGGCACACGCACCTCGCTCCCTCTGTACTCCCTGTGTTGGGATACAGTCCACGTGCCTTGCATTTCATCTGTTAAAGTGTCCAACTTGTGTTAGCGCACTTGAATTGATTTTGCAAGGGTGATAGGAAGGCCTGTTGGCTGTCGCTGAGCTCCTAAAACCCTGGGAATCCCTCGGAATCTCCTGGGTGACAAGAATATCTTTGTATGGTAATGAGGCTGCTGGTGGTTCTCCCCCACCCAGCTTTAGGATGGGGACTGGGCTCTGGAGGAGAGGAGGAAAGATCAGCAGGTATTGAGGTTTGAGCCCCATGTGGGGTGCTGTGGTGCAAGCCTGTAATCTCAGCACACTTGGGAGGATGAGGCAGGAGGGTCACCAAGAGTTGAAGGCCAGCCAAGGCTGCATAGTGAGTTCAAGGCCAGCCTGGATCAAAAAACCAAAACCAAACAGCAGCAACAACAAAAAAATGGGTTAGAAGGTTGGAACTTTCAAACCTCTCTGATCTCTAGGGGGCTGGGGAGGGCTTAGGGTTGAGTTAATCACCAGTGGCCAGCGATTTGATCAGTTATGAAATCACCATAGAAACCCTTCAACCAGGAGACAGGTTTGGGGAGCGCCCCAGTTGGTGACCCAGGTTGGAGCAGGCCTGGAGAGGCCAGAGAAGCCCTGACTCCATCTCGAGTCTTTTGAGCCTCTTCCGTGCTGCTGGGCCCTGTCTTTGTAATGAACCAGTAATAGCAGTGAGTAGACCACCTTCAGCTGCTCTTGCAGGGGACTTGGACACCTGGGGCTTAAGCTGGCAACTGTAGGGCTGGGGGTTGGAGAGGCAGCCCAGGAAAAGGCACGTGGTAGGCAGCATCAGCTCACCTGCTGAGTCACCTTTTGAAGACACCAGCGTCCCTCCCACCAGCAGCTGGCAGCTTGTTGTTGGCTTTTGGTGATGGCTGGGTTGGTGGGTGTGAGCGGTGGGTGTCCCAGGGTAGATTTGCTTTGTGTTTCTTTGAATAATGATGTTGTGCATCTTTTCATGTGCTCATGCAGCTCCTGCCACTTTGGAGAATTCTCTTTAGGTCCTTGGCCTACTTTTCCATTGATTTGTCTTTTTTTAAAATTAATTTTATTGGCACACTTTTGATAAACATAATGATCACATTCTTTGTAGGAAATCTGTACCTCTACGTAATGTATCTTTTTTTTTTTGTACCAGGGATCAAACTCAGGACCTTGAGCTTTCGAGGCAGGCACGGTGCCACTGAGCTAAATCCCCAGCTCTACATAATATATTTTGATTCTTCTTTTTTCCCTATTCTCCTCCCTTATTTCTTTTTATTAATTGAATAAGAGTTTATTAGTTCAATTTTAAGAAGTTTCCTTTTCTGGGCTGGGGATTTAGCTCAGTGGTTTCACAGCCTGCTACGCAAGCACAAGGACCCGAGTTCAATCCCCCGTACCAAAAAAAAAAAAAAAAAAAAAGAAGTTCCCTTCTCATATATAATTTTTCTCAATTAAATTTTGTCCCAGATTTAAAACAAATTGTCTTACATATAATAAACAAAACTTACTAACTTAGCTGGGCCTGGTGGTCCCACGCCTGTCATCCCAGCGCTCGGAGGCTGAGGCGGGGGGGTCACAAGTTCAAGCCTAGCCTGGGCAACTTTGCTGCTTAGTGAGCCCCTGTGTCAAAATTAAAGAATGAAAAATAGGCTGGGATTGTAGCTCAGTGGAAGGGCCCTGGGTTAAATACCTGGAACCCGCAAAGGAAAAAATTACTGACTTCACCATTTCTGAGTAACAGTTCAGTGTCAGTGGTATTAAGTCCGTTCATGGGACTGGGGGTGTAGCTCAGTGGTAGAGCACTTGCCCTGCCTGCTTGAGGCCCTGAGTTTGATCCCTAGCACTAAAAAATAAATTAAAAAAAATTTAAAAAATGCGTACATGATATTGTGTAGCCTTAATTGCTGTCCCTCGCCAGAGCTCTTTCATCTGGGGAGGGTGTGGTCTCTCCCACTAAACAATAGTTCCCAGCTCCTGCCCCAGGCCCTGGCAGCTGCCTTTCTACCTTTGTCTCTATGAATCCACTTCCTGGACTTCCTTGTGCCTCTGGTTTGTTACTTCCACTGTTACCATTGCAGAGAGTCCAGGTGGGTGGCTTTGGGATCAGTCCACCTCACTGCCTGCTGGGTTTGCCTTTGGTGAGCTGAAATTCTGGGGGAGTTGCATCTTATTTAAGTGTCTCCTCATTTTCTATTTTTTTAAAAAAAAATTTAATTCCTGGGTTGATGCTTGGAAATTGCTTATGGTGCGTAGTTTTATTGCCAGTATTCAGAACTCCTAGGAAATGACTACTTCTTAGAGGTGTCTTCCGGGTGTAGCTGGCGTTTGGATTTTGAGTCTGTTGCAAGGCCCTACCTTTTCAGTTTATTGGGGATGAGGAGTTTCTGCCTACTTGGCCCCCCTTCTTTGGTACTGTACTTTAGTGTTTTTAAGACCCTTAGGCAATCTCCTATCCCAGGAAGAACAACTGATTAGCACAATTATGTCACATTGGCTAAAGTAGTATAATCAGCAGTAACAATGGCATCAGACACAGCCTAGAAAATGACAAACTGTGGTAATTATTATTATTATTATTTTTTTGGTACCAGGGATCGAACTCAGGACCTTCTACTTTCGAGGCAGGCAGCGGCACCACTGAGCTAAATCCCCAGCCCCAAACTGTGGTAATTATTAATTTGCCACCTTTAACCGTATGAACTATATTTATGGCTCAATAACACAATCTAAAACTAACCAGAAAATTATATGCCGTAAATAAGTCCTCAATATGGCCATTTTACCCTTAGAGGAGGAGATTTAAAAGGGACTTGGGGTGGGGGGAAGGGATAGAGAAATAGAAGAAGAGGAAGACATTAGAAGCAAGGCTGGAGACCAAGGAAGATCATCCAAACTTTAGGAAACTAGTGAAGAAGACAGGAGGGAAAGAGGGAAGAAATAAAAACAAGAACAGAGCAGAACAACAACAAAACTAGAAACCATGTTCACAGCCATATAAAAACAAGAACAGAACAGAACAACAACAAAACTAGAAACCATTTTCACAGCCATATAAAAACAAGAACAATCAAGAAAAAACAAAACAACAAAAACTAGAAAAAAGAAAAAAATGTCCAATTCAGGCATGTTTCTGCTGTCACTGGTACACACTGTGCGAGATAAAGTCCAGATCGGAGTAGATGAATCCCAGTGAGCCAGCACTAGCCTTATGGCGGGGTAGTTGGTAACCTCAGCAAGCCTGCCCCTTTCATTCCACTGAAGTTAAGGCTGGTTTCTGGTTTTGAGGCTGGAGCCAGATTTACTGAGCCTGCAACAGTCTGTGTGCCTCCTGCCGGCTTGAACTCCACTCTCTGCCTGTCCTTGAGCTGTCCATATTGTAGCAGATGGCAGGATTTCCTTTTTCATGGCTGGATAATAGTCCACTACATTTTGCTTTTCCACTCATTCAAGGAGGGGATGTTGGTTGATTCCACATTTTAGCTCAGATAGAGAATGCTGGTATGAATTTGGAAACCCATTAGGATGTCTCTTTGGAGACCTTGTTTTCAGTTCCAGAAGTGGAATTGCTGGATCCTATGGAAATTCTGTTTCATTTTTCGAGGAACACCCAGGAAAATGGCACTGTTATGCCTTGTGTTTAGATGTGCCCCTAAAGCCTCATGTGGATGAGGAGGGGTTTATTTTTCAGAGGTGGCTGAATCTAGATTGTGTGAGACTGGCATTAAGGCTGTGTGATTACTGAACCACTGAACGTGAGTGATTGCTTTGGCACCACCCCGATCCCGGTAGTCTGATGGGATAAGAGGGCCAGAAAGACGCTGTTAAGGTCCCTTGTTGCTTTGCTGTCTTCTGCAATCATGAACTGCAGTCACGAACTGTTGCCCCCTCTGCCAGGTGCCTTGGAGCCAGCCACTTATGGACCGAAACCTCTAGGAACTGTAAGCCAAATAAACCTTTCCCCCTTTACCTTTGGGTGTTTGATATTTTGTCTCAGGAATGAGAGAGAAGTAACTAACACAGGCAGCATTTTCCATTCCTCCCAGTGGTGCACGTGAGGTCCATTGGTCCAGGTCCTCTCCAGAACTTGTTATTTGGAGGGTTACTGAGGATGGAACCCGGGCCCTTGTATGGGGTGAGTACACAGTCAGGCATGAGCCGCAGACGTATTGTCCTGCTCACTGACTGAACCGTGGGGTGGGTGGTACATGGTAGCTCCTTGTGCTTGGAGCTGGATTTCCGTAATGATTCCCGACGCTCTGCATCTTTTTGTGTGGTTCTGGGTGGGCTGTGTATCATCTTTGGAAAAATGTATTCAAGGTCTTTGCTCTTTTAGTTTTTTTCTCCAGTAGTGGGAGTTGACCCCAGGGCCTTTGCACTGTGCTACATCCCCAGGCCTTTTGTTTTTTGACAAGGCCTCCTAGAGCTACTGAATTGCCAGGCTGGACTTGAACTTGGTTGGGACCCTCCTGCCTTGGCCTT